TTGTATGACCCGTCGGACGTGTTGGACGTCGCACCGAAAGAAAAGCACAAAGGGCGCCGGTACTGCTTTATTGCCGCCATCCTGGACTCGCCAACGATGGACAGCCGTGTCATGGCTCTGGATATTTTCACTGGGGGGACCACCTTGGCTAAAGAACCAAAGGACTATCACGGCATGTTCGACCATGCATACTATGTTGGCTGGTTCCAACGGCTTCTGGACGAGTTGGACGAGATCCGTGTGTCCAACGCTCTCATAGTAATGGACAATGCCAAGTACCACAAGGGGCGTCCTAGCAATACACCACAGAGCCGACATCGCAAGGAGGTGTTGATCGCGGCATGCACGATGTACGGCATCCCAGTGACTGGGATAGAGTTCAAGAGTCTCTTGTGGGAGAAGTTAGCCGCGTACATTGAGACCAACGTTCTGCCCGTTGTCATGACAATGGCGTCGGAGCGAGGCCACACCGTTGTGTATACCCCCCCTCACCACTCCAACCTGCAACCGATTGAAATGATTTGGGCACTCGTGAAGGGTGACGTTGGTCGACAATACACCGACATGACGAAGTTCCCCGAGGTGAAAACTCGATTAGTTGCTGCGTTTGCAAAGTTGACGCCTCATGCTATCCAGGGTTGTGTGAAAGTCGCAGAAGGTTCACTGCATATGCTTCACGAGCATTTACAACAAATTGATCGGCTGGAGTCCGACGAGGAGTCCTCGGCGGGGAGCGAAAGCGACGATGGTGGCAGTGATAGTGATTAGTTGGACCTCTTGATAAACAGTACCCATTAAAATGTATAATTTTGCATTCAATAAATTGTCGAAGGTCGTATACCTATGTGGTTACATACTTTGTTAAGTTTATAGAGAATTTTTTGGGTCGTTGGTTGCTAACGTTGACTGTCAGCTTCGTCATTTTTGATAGATCAACTACTAGATTAATATTGGGATCTTCTGGGAATCATATCTCAGCCACAACATGTTTTTGGAAATCACTCACTGTATTCCGAGAATACTAATATATCTCATAAAACAATAATCAAACTACGAAAAATACATACGACGAGACTTCAGGTCCGTTGGTTGTCAGTCGCTTTGGTTTACAGCCAACCATGCAATCGAAACCAACACATCACACGCAACCTTCCATAAAACATCTCAATGGCTCGTAGAGCTGGCATTCAAGGCTCACAGCCCACCCAACTCACGTCACGCGGCATCAGCCAAGCAGTAGCTTACCTTGATAACCTCGAGCAGCAACGCCAGGCCAAACGTGCACGCTCCCCACGGTCCGTCCAGAGGAACCCGATGAAGACCCTCAATCTGCAAGCCCTATCTATGACGCTTTCTTGAGACCCAAGGAGCAAACGGCATTCACACTATGACCAACATCAGTCCGTCGGAGTTCAACGTAATCTGGGCCAACGTCCGCATCTACGTCACCAAGCACTGGAACGTCGGTTCAGGACGCAAGTCTGAGGTGTCTGCACGCGATCTGCTGCTGACTACCGTCGGCGAAAAGTATTCAATGGCGTTGCTCACAACCAGTGGTCACCAATTCGCTAACTTTCAGTTCGTTCGCTACGTAACCGACGTGACGTTTCAACAAACAAATGTGCCATCGGGCAGTTACGTCGAGAAGAAGACGTACTTCAGTGGCAAGCATTCCCAGTACGGCCATAAAGTCGAAGTGCCCGTCCTGCCCAATGGCTTTGCAATCAACTGTACCGCGCACTACAGCCGACCACGGGGATGAAGGCACGAACCAGTGGGCTGTCATAGCGGACAAGAGGTATCAAGGAATCCAACGGGTCGTACGTGCTGTATTGCCGAAGAAGAAACTAGCAGGTGGTATCCTCACGCTTGAGGACGTCCGCTCGAACATCACATTGCAAGCGATCGTGTGATCGTGGAAAACGTTTCGCCGGATGAAGACGTTGTGGGCTGTGTGCGGTGAGACCTATCGATGGTCGCGTGACAACTACGACGTGTTGTTTCAAACGTGCATGGCGCTGACAAACGTACATATTCGCTTGCATCCGCTGCGTGCCGACGACGGGGAAGTGTATTCTCAGTACATCAATCGCATGTCCTCAATCGGTTCAAAGAAGGACAAGGGCAAAAAGACGTCTGCTCGTACCTACAGGATGAAACTCAAGGCGAGATGACTCTTATGTTAGCTGCTGAGAGCTCTCTCGTTGCTGGAAGTGCTGTGGGTGGCAATGATTCTGATTTGGGTTCGAACAGCGATGCTGAATATGGTAGCAATCTGCTGTTCTATAATTAATATGGCTAATTAGGCATGTGTACTTATTTTAACGAATTGAGGAGTAGGTTTTATCAAAAGTAGTTGGGTTTAGGAATTACTAGAGTTACGAAATGGCCGCTTTTTGTTAAGGAATCTCCTTATATAGTTACTTAATTAGTGTAGAAATAGGATATGATTCCTTTTTGACCATTGGAAATCGTTTCGACTCAATTGGAAATGATTCACAATATTCCGAAAACGTTCCATTTTATTGAAAAGTGAGGACTTCGTCAAATCGTTGACATACTACATGAATGCTGTGAGGATGATAAACTGCTTTCTCTTTCGCCAGTCATTCAGTCTCTGGGTTAGAGGTCTAATGTGAGCACCTTCAAGGCAACCAAGTTTCCAAACTTTTGGGTTTGGAGCAAAAAAATGTTGTGTAGACGAACGAACGGAGGTAGGTAAATCTCGTGGGAGCAATTTCAAGGAGGGGCACAAAATAAAAATTTCAAGGAGGGGCACCAAACCAAAAACAGGTGAAACGTCATTCCTTGTAGCACTGTGCTCATATCAATTGATTTGAATAAATAATACTGCTACGTAGTAGTACTTTTATTAATAATAAAATCAATTAGTACACTGCTGTATCAGCAAGCTCCAACCAAAAAGTTCCCACATTTTGTCAAAGTCGACATGACGGGACAACAGTGGTGAGTTACAAACTAAGTTTCTGGTCCTAACTGTAAATAACTGGTACCGTGTGGTGTACTGTACCCTACATATCTAGCTGCAGATTGAAGATAAATTCATTCAACCATAGTGCTGTTTGAGCGTTCAGTGCTGACTTTGATGATTGCTACTGTAACTCTGATGTAACCATGGGATCCGCCACATACAACACGCACAATTTGAGTTCAGTGTCAACGCATCATGACAGTCCCCAACTTGGTCTGCGAATGATAGGGGCTTTAACCTTGGCGGCACGACTTAATCCATCATTTCCCTTGACTTCAGTGTTGTAAGCACAGTAAAAAGAATGACACGATACCGAATACCAAGAATACATTCAATGAATTCAATGAATGGACAAAACTCTGTATTACGTAAATAGATGCGGTACGACGGTAAATAATCGTGGGCCGACAACACGACACCCCGATGGGCTGCACGACGGTCTCTACATCACCGGGACATCCACATTTGGTTGTCTGAAGAATCGAAGCATGACAGCGAACGCTTTCGACGTAACACTCGCTTTGTGCGGGGGGGGCTCGGTCTTTGTCGAATGGGAGTTGTCAATACGCTCAAAGCCACCACCGCCATTAACAAATGCGTGGGCCAAGACTTGATCGACGCGAATTCGTCGGCTTGGGTCGACGCAGAGCATGTGTTCCAGCAAGTCCAGTTCTTCAGGCCCCATGTCAATATGCCACGACAGAAGCAGACCCCGAAGGCCATGGCACTTCAAGTACACGAAGCGCCGATCGTTAAGCGTGGCAGATATGCATAGTGGCACCCCCGTGAGCATCATAAAGAGCATCACTCCCAGCGACCACACATCTGCCTTGGACGGATCATACCCTCGACCATCGAGGGCCTCGGGGGCGATGTAATAGGGTTTCCCCACAATGTCGTGGGAGCGACAAGACACGGAGGCTGCGAGTCCAAAGTCACAAACGTAGCACTGGTCGTTGTGGAGCAAGACGTTTTCAAGCGACAGGTCGCGATGGGCGATGCCTTTGGTGTGCATGAACGCTATCGCGTGGGCAATTTGACCAAAATAGCGCTGGGCGACCGATGTTTTGAAGGGGCCCTGGTCCAACGCTTCGAACAAGTCGCCCCCCGAACAGTAGTCAAAAATCAGATGGTCGAACCCGTCTTGAATGAACTCGTCCCGGAGGCGGACGATGTGGGGGTGGCCCCCCTTGGCGCTTAGGACGCGGTTCACGTGCATTTCTACCTCGATGTCCTCGTCTACGTGGCGGTGGTCCCCGCGCACGATCTCATGATTTCGGGCTGCCTCCACATCCATTTTTTTAACGGCCACCAAGTCGCCCGTCCACTGGTCTTTGGCCAACAACACTTGGCCGTACAGGGCGTTTGCAATCACGCGTTGTGTCGTGTACCGTTGGTGCATGCCAAAGAGTTGGAATCGTCGTGGCGACGAATGGGGAATGGAGCGTTCATTTAATTTGGATTTGTTTTGTCTAGAATTTCGTCGCAAAAACAAGTCTACTACTTCGAAGTATAAGGGTAGACATTGAATTGCGCACCAGATGATGATACTGTAAGTCATCGCAAGTTCAACCCTGAATCACTTCAATCTACTGTATCCTGAACTTGCAACCAAGTACAGTCAGTACACGTTCAAGACTACCAGTTACTAGTACAAGGATGCTTCCGCTATGGTTTCAAGAACGCTTCCAAGCTTGAGAGGCGTTCGCATCCAAATTTCTGTCGCCCACGATGCTCTGAGCGAGGTACTGTAATGATACGTGTGGCCGTAATGGTCAGTACCAACGGCACAATACAGTGATGTCGCACGAGGCCAACATAGGAACATTAGGCATGCGATTTTGTGCAAAGACCTGCGCACTTGACGACAAAAAGACGCAACGATTGACCAACGCACTGAAACTGATGAAACCGCCGAAACCATATTGACATGCAATACAGTAAGTATAAACTGTATCCACATCCAAGCGTTGAAATGTCATAACGTTATTTATCTATAACGTTACCGGTAGTTTGGAAGGAAATCCTTATGACATATCGATTGTCGTCAACCAGGCAAATTCACGTGACAACTTGGTTCCGTGCCAATATGCATAAACAATCACTCTGAAGTTTTCAGCCAATCAGATGCAATTTTTGACAGATAACTGGATAAAATCAAGTGTCTCGGAACTGTTTTCAGCCTATGGATAATTCCACTCTTTTAATTCATTTTCCATCAACACTAATACGAATTTCGACATGATTCTGTTAAGTTCTACGAACTGCATTAATTCTCCTCTTTAAGATACACTATTAATTGCAATTTGGAGTACTGTACATGAACACTTCCATCGTAGAGTCCCAAAAGTGTCACGGACCTGCGCCCATACCATTCAAAGTTCGCTTTCTACTCCATACAAGCACACAGTACGAAATACGGAGTACGTCCTTGGCGTGCTTACCGCACTAGGTCCATCGATTCATAAATTAATAACTAAATAGACTACCACATCCCAAGCATACATCATCTATGGCAGGGGATGAGCGTCCGCTACTTTGCGTTTGAAAAGTCGATGGAGCACTGACGCCGCTTTGGCTTTGACTTGCAATTTGGTTTTTGACACATTCTCCACGGCCGCCACCGTCACTCGATTCACTCCTCCCATGTAGGCATGGGACAGCACCTGCGGCATGGTGACCCGCTCGGCGGGGTTCACACGCAGCATCTTTTCCAGTAAGTCCATGGCCTGTGCATCCACCGCCATGTTCCACGACTTCAGCAGGTCCGCGAGGCCGTGCTTTGTGTAGTATTTAAACCGAGAATCCCGGGCGCTGGCCGACATGCACATGGGTGCGCCAGTGACAAGCATGAACAGCATGATGCCTAACGACCATATGTCGGCTTGGGCCGGGTCGTAGTGGCCACCGCGGACGACTTCGGGTGCCATGTAGAAGTGTTTACCGACGGTGTCGTCGCAGTAAACCTTCACCGACGTGGCGAGGCCGAAATCGCACACGTAGCAGGTGTCATGGGCGTCCAGCAGCACGTTTTCAAGGGACAGGTCGCGGTGCGCAACGCCAATCGAATGCAAATGGGCCACGGCGCTGGCAATCTGTTGGAAGTACCGCTTCGCCACCGACGACGACAAGGCGCCATGGTCCAGTACGCCGAACAAGTCCCCACCGGCGCAGTACTCGAACACCATGTGGTCGTAGTCGCCGTGGACAAAGTCCGTGCGCATGCGCAGGATGTTGGGATGCATGGAGGCGTTGCCGGTGTTGCTGAGTAGTCGGTTGACTTGCTTCTCCATATCAATGTCTTCCGGGACGTGAGAGGTGCCGTCCCCCCGCACGACAGTGTGCGCGGCTGCCGCAGCCACGTTCATTTTCTTGATGGCCACAAGGTCTCCAGTGTGGAGGTCGTGGGCCAGCAACACTTGGCCGTACAGCGCGTTCGCGATGACCTTCTCCACGCGATACTTATCCATCGTCTACGCACTCTGGGATAGGTTTCAAAATGAATGTGGAAATCTTCCGAGCAAAACCACGAGCCATATGAAGTTCAAAGAAAAGGGTAGAAGAATCCAATAAAAATCTGTGAAGTCCCCAATAAACCAGCTGAAAAGCCCAAAGGGACGCATGGTACTGTATCGTTATTTAGTACTACGTAGTACTACTACTACAGTACGTAGTAGTACTGTAGTCTGGACCACTGTAGCAATGGTTTGTGGATTCTACTACACTTGGTAGTACTACTTCGAAGTTTTGAACTGGAATAAATTCAATTTTGCGGGTCTCTCTTGTGTTCCGTCCTTCAACAACTTCGTTGTGGCTGGTTTATTTCCAGCTAGAGGTAGTAGTATTAGATAAAACGGAATGTGCTTGTACTAGTAATAGTACTACTGTATTAATACTATTAATATTATTAATATTAGTACTCCTCTTTTAATCGTATGCACACAGGACCATGACAATAATAATTTCGAATTCTCAGTCAACTGTCAGGACATTTCCACACAATTTCAACAGAACAATTCTTACAGTTAAAATAAGGGTCGAGTACTCAAGAAGGCACTTTGGTGCACGTTCTGGATGGGAAAATAACTTACAGGGTGTGCGATGTGGCGGAGGCGACCACAAGTCACAAGTCTAAACATAAGCCGCCTCCCAAACCTGGAGAAGCCTGCCAGTGGATTTGAGGCCATCAGCCAGCCGTAGCAACATTCGACGTCATGAACCATCGCGAGGTTACAGTATCTCGAAGGTCAAGTAGTGAAGTTCGTGTGCATCTACCTGTGTTGTGCATGGTGTATGCATGCATGTAAGCTGTAAGACGGGAATAACCACTGTTGGATAGCCACTACGCGCGATTCCTGCAGGTCAAGCAATGGAGGCTCCAGCGTGCACTTTTCATAGTGACGATTTTTTAGGTGTATGATTGGTTGTAGATATTTAAATGTGTCAAATCAACCGCAGAGCCGAGGTTGCGACCGACACCACGCCTACATAGTAGTGAATACAGTACCCCCGTCGCCTTACAACTACAACGACGCAGTAGTGAAGAATTGCAAGTACTGAACAGCCCAGCAACACTTTGCATGTCCTCGACGCTACAGTGCATAGCATACTGTACCAGTGCCTCCAGTACTAAGTACAGTGGTCGAAGCCAGCACTTACAGTGCTGTTAACGTTAGTACTAAGTTTTTAGTACAATGCTGGCTTCGACCACTGTACAGTACAGTTGGTACAGTATTGCCAAAAGCCCTGCATACATTCGAGTGAAAACACATGGGAGGTGGAATAGTTGAAGGACAACCAAATCGTTGAAGAGTTCATTGTTCACTTCCTTTGGAACTGGCGCTGTGCTGCCCAGTACTGTACCGGTACTCTTGTTGGTTCGTGGCCATGGTAGACAGAATGAGCATTACAATACCAAGCATCCCGAGCACTTTCTGACCACCAACAACAAATAAGAACCACATATTCAGGGGATATTCTCCGCCGCGACACACATGCGACTGTGATTACGATAAGCACTCGTGACTTTGATTGGCCGTCATACTGCTTGGCAGCCTGTGATTGGTTGAAACACGAACTATTCCAATTGAGAAACACCAATGTGACGGTCGGATCTCCCAACTTACTCGCGCCTCCAAGTGAAGCACAAGTTGGGGGGTCCTCATGACAGGGCACAGGTTTTGACTGTGCTGCTAAAGCTTGTCCAACCCGCCAATCTAACTAGTTTAACGGCAGCAGAACTCGCATTGCCGTTTCAGATATCCCGTAATCCTTCGAAGTTCGAATCGTGAACTCAGCCCAGAATCGTCGCAATAAAACGCACTGTGCCTCATTCATTGCGCAAATTGGTTCGGCATGGAAGCGTACACCATTGAGAGGGTGCTGGCGACGGCGCTATTCGGCGACGTAGTGCTATGTCAGGACATATACACAGGGGAACAAGTTGCTATCAAACGAATGGATCTAGCTGCAGCCAAGAACCACAAAACACTGCTCGACCATAGACACGTGTCCGAAGACGTCGGCTTCGAAGCCCAAGTGAACCGCAAAATCCACGCCGGCGGGGGGCATCCCCATCTCCTGCGCATGCGGACAGACTTTGTCCAAGACGAGTGCCTCCACTTTGTGTACGACTACTGCGCAGGTGGCGACCTCCTCGATAAGCTGGCCAGAGAGACCCGGTTTGGTACACACATGGCGCTCAAGTATTTCTGCGACATCGTGAAGGCCGTCGAACGTTTGCACGAATTCGGGTTCGCCCACCGCGATTTGTCGCTGGAAAACGTGCTGCTCGACGCCGACAACCAGTGTCACGTGTGTGACTTCGGCTTGGCGTGCCACGTCGCAACCGTCCACTCGTCACGAGTGGGGAAAAAGTTCTATATGGCCCCCGAAGTCGTAGCGGGAGAAGATTACGACGCCGTCAAGGCAGACGTGTGGTCGTTGGGCATGTTACTGTTCGAGATGCTGTCGGGAGCCCCCTTGTTTGGCGAAGCCTCGGCATCGGACCCCCGCTTTCACGTGCTCCAAACAGCCGGCCCCGCCACGTTGTTTCAATGTGTAGAGGACAGCGAGATTGTGCAGCTTTTAACGGAACTGGTGTCACTGGACCCGATGAAACGCCCTTCATTGCACATGATCCTGCAACATCCAGTCGTCAGTCGCGCCATGGTGTCGAAAATGGAAACCCCCTCGTCATCGTCGGTTGTGTCGGGGTATATGGCTGGCATGGCCTCGTCCACGATCGTGACTTACCTAAATCGGCTGCTTCTTTCGCCTTGGAGAAGCCTCGACCCCACGGCTGCCGGCAGAGCATAGAATTGTAACATAACACTTTATTTATGCTAGACAAATCAACTCCATTGGATAGGTTTACAACTAATATAAGTAACGTTACTAGTAGTATCGGTAGTATCCTTCAACTTTAGACTCGTATGAGATCGTATTAATATAATAGTAACGTAATTAATACTTGGTGTTGCCCTTCAACTTGCATGTGTTTGTGCACCTGAGTCTTGCTGCAAGCCCGGGGGTGTACAGTACTGTACGTCCTCCATTTCAACGAGACGTAGGCACCTTGAATGCAGCTGTGCCTTCTTATTGACGTGAAGTACATTTGACCCTTGAACACAGACTTGACAGATACACATTGATTGATAACGTTAGTAAATAATAAGGGAAGATCGATATCGTCATGGCCGAGGGATGCATCTCAACGCTCGCTCTACATGACGAGTCGTCCAGGGCGACTATGTGCGTCTTGGTTGACGCAGTAGAACGGTCTGTTTTTGGGTTCTGGAATCGGGACTGGAGTCGATCGCTTTGCATTTGTCGACGGCCAGCCTTTGCCTGTGGTTGTTGTGGCGTCTGAATCCGACAGTCGCTTTCTTGCCGGTAACATCGTTGCATGCAGGGTTGAGGTGGCAGCGTTGTACGATGTGTCGAGGGCGGCCAAGTTCAGGCACGCGTTGTTTCGTCGAAGCATGGTTATGTAGCGACGAGTAGTTGTGAAAGTGGCCACCACGAGAATGGAGACCAGTTATCGAGTTATCGACACATCCACCACATGCACATCGTCGCAGCCAATCCCAATATCGCAGGCGGCTGACTCGACATTTGCTTGGATGTGCCAGGTGGTAAAAGGTTCCATTGGAATCCCACACCATTCAGCCAAGAATTTGGGGATAATTGTACGAAGTATAAAAATACAGCGTTTTGTCTTGAGTGATGTATGAGAACAAGACAGAATCCCTGCAAAAAAATGGTCGTTTGGAAATTGTACTACTACTACAGTACTGTATATACACAGTACTGGATTTTTGTAGCAGTACTATGTACTAGTACTAGTAATGTACTCGATATTCAGTTTGGTTGGATAAAATAGATTTATCGAGGCAAGTCATGCGAGTACGTATATAATGTATAATGTCTTGAAGGTTTGCGATCTTTGGTCAAATTGTCCACCACAACCAACGAACCACCAGAAAATTTAAGTGGTGTACAACTGTACTTCCGTCTAGTGTAATTCGAGTATTCGGATAGACATAGCATACAATTTTCAGTATGTTTTGTCGAAGCTAGCGATACCGTATGTTTATCCATTGATAAAGGTTATTACTATCCAGGATATCGTGACATAATAAAAGGACATTAATTACTCTAGTATTACTTATGATGTATGGCAGGTGAACTCCATGGTCAAGGTAAACCTCTGATAGCTTTTATCAACTTATACAGTAGCCTGACTTGAATTATTGGTACAGTAAGTTACACTGATTTTATTACTTCGAAGTAGTACAATACCAGTAATTGGGCTGTGCTATCAGGACAGTACCTGTACGTACCTCTTCAACGGTATAGAGTACACTGCACACGAGTGGAACAACGTACATCTTTCGTGAGCATTCAACTCATTATCGTACCTTCGTAGCAATGACCCCAACGCCCCTCAGGCTTGATACTGTACCGCGATACAATAAGGGTCTTCCTTCAGCAACAGACTCCCTGCCATCCACCGATTGATTGATTGCAACCTCACGTAACACACTCCTGCGGCCGTCACTGTGTTCATTGCAATGTACAGTGGTCGATTGCAATAGTGTACTGACAGAGTGTACGCCAGTCAGACGGATGCAACCACCAACTACAGTGACCACTGCGCCGTAACTCTGGTTCTTTTGAGGCTCAAGTTCTATCTTCTGCACGTGCAGGACTGTACAGTACTTACTGCAGCTAAGTTTAGTTCGTTGGCCACATCTTGTAAATCTAGCCTTAATTGTACCCTGGTGTCGCTGTACAGTACAGCTTCCCTCAAATAATCCGAAACCGATTGATTGTGCAATACCCGAATAATATGGCGTTTTATTCAAAATACCCGGTATTTATATACGTTAAACCTGTTCTCCACCCGTTATCGGTTCCGTGAAAAGTGTGATCACTTCAACCAGGTCTAGATTTCGCATTGCTCAGAAATCCTTCCGCGATCTTCACATGCTTCACAATTCCATTCCTCGTTTACGATCGTACTAGACGACAACGCCAACTTGATGCATCGATACACCACGGAACGAGTGCTCGCAGATGCCCTGTATGGCCAAGTGCTGCTCTGCCATGACAACATCACGGGAGAGCAAGTTGCGATCAAGCGCATGAACGTAGCGGCGGCCACGGCCAAGACAATGATCCACACGGCTTCCATCCAAGTATCGGAAGACATTGCGTTCGAGAAACGTGTGCATCGAGCGTTGAGCGTCGGTGGTGGTCACTGCAACGTGCTGCGCTTGCGCTCGGACTTCGTCGAGGACGGCTTCGACCACTTCGTGCTCGACTATTGCGTAGGCGGCGAGCTGTTTGACCTGATGGACTCCATGCCTGACCAACGACTGGACATGGACATGGCGCGGCGATACTTTCGCCAAATTCTCCACGGCGTTCAGTTCATGCATGCCCGCGGGTTTGCCCATCGCGATTTGTCGTTGGAAAACGTCCTCGTGGACGGGAAAGACAACTGCTACATATGCGACTTTGGTCTAGCCACGTTTGCGGACGCCCCGTCACAAGATACCGTGGGCAAGGCGTTCTACATGGCGCCCGAGGTGGCCGTGGTCACCCGCGGTGCCAGCTACGACCCCGTCAAGGCCGACATCTGGTCTCTCGGCATTATGCTGTTCATGATGCTCACGGGCTCGCCGTTGGTTGAGATGGCCTCCGTCAAAGACAGCCGGTACCGATACCTTCAAACCCAAGGGCTGCCTCGCCTGGTCGACGCCTGGCGGGTGGGACATGCTGTCCACGGAGACGCGCTGGACCTGCTGCAGCGGATGCTGTGCAGAAACCCTGCCAGTCGGCTGTCACTCCAGGCGGTTCTGGACCATCCATTCGTGTCACAGCTGACGGTGCCGTCTTCATCATTGACGAAGTGCCTCGGTGGCTTCTTTAAGAAACGGGCGCGTCGAACTGTCCTCGACGTGTATTCTGCTTCGATGATGTAGGCAGGAAGGTATACATATAGATGGGTATGTGTCGTAGTGAGTGCTGTTTATTTAATACTAGTAATCTATCAAGTTTCAACTCAAAATAGTACTGTTTGTACTGCTACGTAGCTATTGTACCACCGGTAGTACTGTAGCTACTACAGCTATTAGTACAACATGTATCTCAAAATGGGCATTCCAAGTAAGTACCCTGGTCACCTACTCATGGAGCAACTTGCACACGAATGTCGTCACAGATGGGGTCGAGGTGTTACTTTGTCGCATAATAGGCGTCAACCACGATACCACTGTTACACGCGAATAATATTTTTTGAATTTGTGTCGTCGTGGTCAGCGCAAAAAACTGGCGTCAACTTGTAACGGTCATAATCTCACCATTAGGTACCCAATCTTGTCAAGCAGGTCATTATTGCATTCCCCACGTCCCTAGCGGAACGTACCTCCCTCGACAGCTTCTTCGAAGCTACCGCATCGCTCCATCCTCATGGACCGATACACAGTTGAACGCACGTTGTCCATAGCTTTGTTTGGGGATGTCGTGCTCTGTCATGACAACACCACTGCCAACGACAACCGCCCGACCTCGATGGTCGCCATCAAGCGCATGGACATTGCGTCTGCGACAGCGCGGCAAGTCGTCGGGTCCCCTCGTCACGTCGCCGAGGACATTGAGTTTGAACGGCATGTGAATCTGACATTGACGCGAGACGGGAAACGGCACCCGAACGTGCTGGCCATGCGGGATTCGTTTGTTGACTCGGGGGTGCTGCACTTTGTGTTTGACTACTGCGCAGGCGGCGAATTGTTTCAAGTCACCGACGATCTACCTGGCCATCGCGTCGACGGGGCCACCGCCCGGCGATACTTTCGCGACATCGTGCTCGGCGTGGCCTACGTACATGCGATGGGGTTTGCGCACCGCGACTTGTCGCTTGAAAATGTGCTCGTGGATGCCAACGATGTGTGCGTCGTATGTGATTTCGGCCTCGCTTCGTCCCTGACCGCCCATCCCACCGATCAATCTAAGGTGGGGAAAGCGTTCTACATGGCCCCAGAGGTGGTGGCTGATGCTGCGCTGCCCTACGACCTGGCAACAGCAGACGTGTGGTCGCTCGGCATCTTGCTGTTTGTTCTTGTCACGGGAGCCCCGCTCGTTGAGATGGCAGCGTTAACCGACGTGCGGTTTCAGTATTTGGAGGCGGAAGGGGTGCGTGCCTTGGTGGAATCGTGGGACATGATGCATCTCTTCGACCCGCAATGCATGTCCCTGCTCGAAGGCATGCTATGTGTAGACGCACTTTATCGCATTTCGATGGACGATATCCTCCGACATCCGTACATTTGTGGCACCGACGACTGCACTTCGTGCTCCGTTCAAGTTGACGACGTGCAGGTGGGGTTAGGTGACGTTGTCGACCTCAAAGCTCTCAACCCAGCCACTCAAGCCATGGATTTGGCCACGTTTACGGTTTAAATCACGGCGAGAATGTTGGTGGTGTTGATTATTGGGCCTGTAACGCTTTATTTGAAAAAACTATGATGGCATTTCGGAATGTCACGAAACTGGTTGGACGTTTTCTTTGCCCTGTGAATGACGACATATACCAGGCAAGCCATCTGGCTGCACTTCGTCACCACTTGGTCCTTAGTGACCATGAAGTGCACTGTGAAGGAAATGCAAGGTAAACGTTGTCCTGACAGGCCAAACGAACCTGCCACTGGCCTGTCGAACAAGGAACAACATGACAGGCGATCAAGAAGTACTACAACAGGTCGCTTTCGATCAATCCGTCGTTCTTTGCCCATAGTGCAATTTCAATTCCAGCTCGAGTTCCCACCATGCACGAACGATTCAGTAACCCGCAGGTCCTGGCGGCTGCGTTGGATGGTCACGTTCTGCTCTGCACGGACGTGGCGACGGGGGATGCCGTTGCCATCAAGCGCATGCATTTGGCGTCGGCAAAAACAAAGCTAGCGCTGGGCACATCGAACCGTGTGTCCGAAGACGCCACCATGGAGCTCCATGTGCATCGTATATTGAGTGCAAACGGTGGCCACGCAAACGTGCTGCGACTGCGCGACCATTTCCACGATGAGTCCAATTTGTACTTGGTGTTGAACTATTGTCCAGGGGGTGACCTCTTCACAGTTCTCCGCACCCATGGCACCCTGGAGATGGCTACAGTGTGGACGTATTTTCGTCAAATTGTTCAGGGGGTTGCGTATATGCACCGTCAAGGCTACGCCCACCGCGACCTCTCGCTCGAAAACATCCTCTTGGACGGAAACGGCAATTGTTGTGTGTGCGATTTTGGGCTCGCGACTCCAGTGTCCGCGTGGGTTTCGCAGAAAGTGGGCAAATTATTTTATATGGCGCCGGAAGTCGTGGCTGCAGCGTTGTACGACCCCACAAAGGCCGACGTGTGGTCGTTGGGTATCATGCTCTTTATGCTTGTCACTGGAACACCCTTGTTGGGGGTAGCCAGCAACATGGATCGGCGATATCGCTACATGATCAGCCATGGACTGCAAAGATTGGTGGCGCACACGTACAAACAGCGAATAGATGCAAAGGTGATGATGTTGCTGGAAGGAATGCTGGCCACGGATCCAAGACTGCGGCTAACTTTGGACGACGTTGTCAAGCGCATGGGAGAGAGCAGGGGGCAGTTGTCGCATAGAACGACCATTGGACAAACCATCAAGCGGTGGTTTCAACCCAAGAAGAACGGGGGGCAACCTATCGACGAGCCCCTCATTCTGGGGATATAGGGGGAAGGACCTGGCACACTACGTCCTACACTATAGTACAGTGCTTCTGGGATAATGACAAATACCGAATGATTCGTTCTCATCGTATCCCTGATGGGTGCAAAATATGCACGCTACGTCATGAATCATGAAAACTTTAGTGAGCCCCCCCTTGCGGATGGTACCGCGTGGCAGGTACAATTCTGCAGATCTTAGCAACCATTTTATTCAGCTGCCTTCGTTTCTCGTCATCTGGTATGCATGCATGAGCTTGCCTTGTTTACAGCGAAGATACTAGTAGCATACTGGTACTGTACAGTTTCAAACATTTCGCAGAATTCATCAAATTTGTGCTAATTCGGATCCTTGTTAGCTCCACCTTGAATTTCGGATGGTAGGTTAAAATCCTCCATTTCCAAGGATGGATCCTGGCCACGGTTCGTTCAATATTCGGACAGATCCTACAATTGAACCAGAATGATGCTGACCCACATTCTTTGGCGTTGCTGGCAATCGCGACCGACCTCTGCTACGAAAGAAATATCTGAACCTGGCACTAAATTTCTTTCTTTGTCGAAGAGTCGTCCTATCACATTCCATCAATTATGCATCGGTACACCATTTCCAACGTCTTGGCCGATGCGTTGTATGGCAAGGTGCATCTATGTCGCGACCGAATCACAGGAGACTCGGTGGCCATCAAGTGCATGTGCGTCGTGTCGGCAGCTACAAAGGTGTCCACGGGTGGACTGCGTATTCAAGAAGACGTGTCGATGGAGAAGCATGTGAATCAAACATTGGATGCCCGCGGAGGCCACCCGCACATTCTGCGCATGCGTACGGCGTTTGTAGAAGCTGGCTACGAGCACTTCGTCTTGGACTTTTGTGCCTTGGGCGAACTCTACGCGGTGCTGGATGAAGCCCCTGGTGGATTGTTTGGCAATGACCGAGCGAGCCGGTACTTTCGTCAAATCGTAAGTGGTGTGAGGTTCTTGCATCAGTCCGGGTTTGCGCACCGCGACCTGTCCCTTGAAAATGTGCTCGTGGACGGAAACGACAACTGCCAGGTCTGCGATTTTGGGCTGGCCGCGTCGAGCTCACATTTGCAAGCAGAGCGCGTCGGGAAATCGTTTTACATGGCTCCAGAAGTGGTCGCGAACGATGCTGTGTACGATGCTTCCAAGGCAGACGTGTGGTCACTAGGCATGATGCTGTTCGTCATGTTGACTGGACAACCCATGTTTGACGTGGCGGAGCACAGTGACGACCGGTTCCACTTCTTGGCCACCAAGGGATTGCGCCGCCTTGTGACAGCGTGGAACCTCGACAGTCTCGTAACCGCAGAGGCAATGTCTCTACTACAAGGCATGCTGACAGTCGACCCGGCTCTGAGGTGGACCATCGATGAAGTGATTGCTCACAACTACGTGAGCACAAAGCCGAATGCACTGACGACTTACACAGGCATGCAGTCAACGGCATTGTCGCCAAACGGAATCGTGTCGTGCTTTGAAACTTATCGATCTAGCTGTGGCTTCGTATAACTGTTAGTAGTCTTAACTTGTGTAAATGTCAGTAGCGTCAATTGGTCCTTGCTTTGTACACCATATATGGTTCACGTGAACCCAACAATGGACAGAGTGCGCATACTGATACTGTAGGGGGGCAAGATTACAGTGCGATGATGTGGAGAACATACCGGTATACTCAAGGAGCGTTGAAACATTGGCATTGTACACGTCATGTTAAGAGTCCCTTACCCAATTACTGTACTACTCGCGAATTTTCATCCCAAAAGTACTATTGCATTGTACATGTCCTGTAAGAGCGTAGTCTCCAAATAAGAGTCCCTTACCCAATTACTGTACTACTCAAGAATTTTCATCCCAAAAGTACTATACATCTATTTTTGGCGCAAGTGTACCTCTTGTAGCCTGCTACTGTATGAGCAGGGTCGAGCCGGACCCTGGTGGGTCTACTGCGTCGTCAAAAGACGACGAAGTGCAATCGACCGAGCGAACTGGTTTCCATGTCGTGTCCTCACCAGAAGCAAAGCACTCGAACGACTGGCGACCCTCGTTTCTCACGGAAACCATCTTGGCACCGCACACGCTGCCGCCAGAAGCCACCCATACGAACCGGTTGCTCGCCAACGTGCTCAAGAAGTTGGCGAGCCATAACGACCACAATGGCCAAGAGACAAAGTCCAAGTACCGCGCGCTCATTCAAAAGGCGGCTCAGCGCACCATCATGATTGTGCGGGCAAAGCATTCGGCCCAAACCGTGCAAAAGATCACGGTTCGGTTTTCAAACCACCAACCAACGGACCTCCCCCGCACGGTCAAGCTGCCGCTGCTGAAAGAAAAGATCGTGTGCCACAATCGATACGACGACAGCCGCAAGAGCACTGTGCTGTTTCGCCAAGTGTTTGAATCCTCCCCCGAGCTCGAAGCCATCGTCAAGGACATGTTTTGGTACATTGTGTCGTCGGAATTCCAAGTACGTGGCGAGCCCTCCCCCCGCCCCCCACAACCCTTTAAAGAGATGCACCGTAGACTGGAAAACACACGAAATTGGAGCACGACTTTTACGAGCGAGTTGCCGATAACTTCACGGCGCTGTTCATTCGCTTGCAAATGAACCCGGCCACGAGGGATTCAGGCACAACCCCTCCATATCGGTACATGTGGTTAACTGGCATGCTATGGTCGTGTAGGTGTGATGGAGAAGTTGCCCGATGCCATGTCGCAATTGTTGTTTCTTGCCCTGCATGACGCGTTTCCTATCTCAAGATATCTCTTTGATGACGACGTGCGCAAAAAACTCATCACGATTTGCTATTCGTGGTAGCCCCCCCCCACTGATCATGCAACCACCAACGACTGTGCTACTGCATTTAGGTTTGTAGGGTTTGTTCCAAGTAAAATCGCATGGGAGCACTGGCTACCCGAACTGTCGATGCAATCGCAACGCAAATCGGCCGGGCTCCACGAATTCCCAGCCCTTCGCAACCGCGTGCGACGAGCGGAGCGACTGGAAAAGATCAAAACCATCGAGATCCAAAATCACCAGAAAAACGTCAAACTCATGAAGGCTGAGGACGTTGACGAGGCCCTCCACCGTCCGCAGAATCAGAATCAGGAGCCAACGTCTGGCGATGGGGCCACGAATCAGGTCAAGCACCCGTTGCCCGTCGTGTCGCAACGTCTCAAGTCCTTGGAGCGCGCCACGTACAGTTTACGCAACTCGCCGTTGATCACCACCTTTTTGAAGCGGCACAACCTCGAGCACAATGCCAAGGTACCGTCCACCGTAGCCACCAAGTGTCCTCATGTACGGTTAGGGTCTGAACGTCGACCTCCGACTCACCAACGACAGCGACCACCACTTGGGCAAACAAGAAGCGTTGCACCAAAAAGGAGCGCCCATGCAACGAAAGCGGCCCGTGCTGGACGCCAACTCGTACAACGACCTCGTGACCAAGTTTGAGGCGCATGGCAAGCAGCTTAAAGCCCAATACGTGTCCGAGAAGGCGGTGATGCTGCAGCAAAACGAAGACAGCAAGGCGCTGTATGCCGCCGCACAAAAGCATCTGAGCGACCAGTACCATACCATCACAAGCCGGAGTCGAGGAGTGCACGAGCTCAGCAATATGTTGGTGTGCAAAGCCCAAGGCACGACCGATGCGATGAACAATTCGAAACAGCAGCTGCCGGTACCGCAACCACCAGGTCGACATCATCACCGTAGCCTAGGCACGCCAAGGCGCACCAATGCCATTGCACCCTAATAGCATGAACGAGTGACTAATAACGCGATACGTTGAAGTGCCAAGTGCAGTAACTGTAGTTAGCGATATGCTACTACGTAGTAGGCACTTGACATCATGGACTGTGGTGAATTGTTGCAGTGGTGGGTTTTGACGACTAAACTGAATTCTCTCTATTGACGTGGGCTACTGTAGTTAGTTAACGCTACAACCTCTTCAAACTCTTTTTGACGGCCTGTTTCTTCTTGGCCACGTCGTTGTCGGAAGCACATGCCGCCAGTGGTCGCTTGTTCGTGGTTTGGGACGTGTGTTGCTGTGTCGACGACGACTTTGTTGTGCCTACGACGTCGGCGTCCTTGCACTTTGTCTTGGACGCGTGAATGCTCGTCAAGATGCGCGCCCGCTGGGCGTATTCGTCGTAGCATTCCATAAACAACTTGCCCGCTTCGTCGTTGAGTGAGCTCTCGGGGAATGGCACGATGAGGAGGCATCGAATGACCTGCAGCACATGGGATAGGTCCAGGTCGGCACTCCAATCGCGCTTGAGTGTGTTCACGCAAATGTCGCCATTTGAAGCAACGTTGGGATGGAAAATTTTTGTCAAGAAGTGGCCTTTCGGTGGCACAGTGGGAAATCCTTCGGTGAGAAGCAGCTTCATCTCAAAGAAACCGCCGGCATACGGAGTGTCTTCGGGGCCTACGAGCTCGACGTGGATCTCCGCAAGAGACTCATCGTCCTGTGGCAGGTATCGAATGCCTGACGGCGGGTTGGTCGCTAGTTGTCGGATCTCTTTGGCTACCCGCTGGATAATCTGAGGAGAGAAGTTCTCGTGTGCCGACTACGCATCGATATCATAAATATCACAAGACACGCAAACTCCATCTTCACGCGCAATCGCGCCATGGAAACCTACCATCATGCACGCAGCTTCTGAAGTGGACGTTGAGTTCGAATCTATGGATCGCAGCTGCCACCAGACCAGAGTTTCGACGTTCAAAATTCGAAATTCTAAAGCACTGAAGTACGACAAAGCCGTACTTATATGGGTGAGAAATATATTTAACATAAAAAAAGCAATTCATATGTTTTAATGTATTAATGTTAAGAAACTATATACGATTAGTTTATATATCTATTAATACATGCTATATAACTGCAATTTAGTTTCTCACCTCATATCATCCTAAAGGGTCGTACTTTTCATTTCTTCTGAAACCGAAACGTCAAGGAACAGTTTCTTACCTCTCGTTACAGGTTTTCGTTCAAGATGGACGGACCATCGTCGCCTGTGGTCGTGCCCACCGCCGAGCCAGCCGCAAATGAGCCTAATCGGGAGAATAAGTCCGTATCCAAGTACGAAGTCGATACTGCCAACGAGGACAACGATGCAGACGACGACGAATCCGATGGCAACGCTCCATCCAAGCCAGGGTCCGTTAGGCCTGTTCCGTCGACGGACGACTTTCCACAAATGAGCTTATCCGCGCATCATGAGCCCCCTCTGAAGCTCAAATTCAAGCGGCAACATACGTTTCAGACGCGCCAGCGCCGCCATTTGAAGAAGCAGGTCAAGAAGATTGTGGCGACGTCCCACTCAATGAGGCAATTCCTGCTCGTGCTCTGGCGCACCTGTGGGTCCATTCATGCGCACGAAATGTTGGCATTTGCTCTTGTACGTCTGTTTAGTGATACTTGATCTTTTCCCTCCCATTGAACTGCTAAACGTAACGCCATGGAGCAGATTGTCGTGGGCATTTTATCGGAAAGTGCGACCCCCGCGCCTCGCTACAACGTGCCCATCGGCACCGTGTTGTTGACTGTCTCCATCAAAAAGGTCCGACTTGTCAAGTCGTCGTCGTGACATCTCATTTGATATGACCAGATCGAACTAAAACTGCTTACCACGGGCTTGCTCGTGGCTATTGGCATGGACATTGTGTGGCTGTGCCGCCACGAAACCACTAGTTATGGCGGGACGTTCCCGTTCTCGATCCTCAGCATCACACGTGTATGGGTTGCGTGTTGTATGTGTCTCAAGGCTGGTTTCACCATGTCCGTCTATTGGTTCTTGGAACCCCATGAAATGTCCACCAAGTACCCCACGGTGGCGTCGGCGCGCCAGCTCCGCCGGTTGATTTTCCAAAAAATCGGCTACTTCTTTCCGACAACGGCCTTACCTCCGCTGGGCGACCTCTCCCGGCACACGTTATTGCGTGTGGTGGCGCTGCTATGGATCCACGTCGTCTCGGGGGGTGTGCTACTTGTCTTGGGGCTGGTATCGTGTGCGTCGTTCACCATGTACCCGCAGTTCCGGTCTGCTGCCCTGGGCATCCCCCTGCACTACATGATCCTTGTCAAAGGCGGGACCACCCTCGCCTCGGTGATGCTGTTCGTAAACCATTTGCACTTGCCAGTGTGGCGCTGCCTGCGCCTCCTGCACTCATTGCAGGGGTTCAAAGGGCCCCTCATCCACTGGCATGGCATCGGATACGGTCAAGATTCAAACTGGATCAAGACGTTGCAGTTTGCCAAGGCCGCGGACGCGTTCTGTGGCTGCTACCTCCTCCTCGTGCTGTACTCTGCATTTCACCATGGCTCGGGGTTTTACGGCGGCGTGATGGCCGTACTAACGATCGCGACCATTTTAGTCGTGCTGCTCGAGTGCTGGGTGCCCCTGCTTGGGCTGGTCGTGTACAAGTTTGTGGGGGTGATGGAACAAGCGCATCGGGACTTTGACTCGTTCAAGCTCTTGCCTCGCAATTGGAATGCCACTCAAAGCAGCAAAGACCCTGACGAAGAGTCGAACGACGACACCAACGACGAAGGCGATAGTAGTAGTAGTAGTAGTAGTAGTAGTGATTCTGACGACAGCTCGGCCGACACCCAGAAGCACGACGGGGCCGCGTCCGCCACGTGGCTACGGTACACTGACGAGTACAACCGGTCGTACGTTCGCAACACGTTGACGGGGGAAATGTTCTGGGACCGCCCCAATGACGATCCCACGCCAAGTGCTCACGAACTGACCCATCCCTCACCTTCCGACCTCGGGGGACTCAAACCCGAGCTTGCCCTTAGCAACACCATGTACATGACCGCCGACGACTTCAAGTACCTCTGGAATACGCTGCCCCCCGCGGGGGGGTTTCTCTGCCGCATCCTCTCGACGCCGACGGTGGACGACCTCACGAGTCACTTGAGCGAATGCCGGTTTTACGTCATCACGGACGGCCTCGCCGCTGCGCACATTCGCGCAGTGTACTTTTATGCGATTCATACGGACACGTTGGCGCACTTTCTAGGCGCGTTCCTCATGGACAGCCTCTCGATGCAATTGGAAGCCAAGTTCAAGTGCGACCAACCAGACATGGTCGCCCCCATCGTGCGATGCTTGCAGCTGCGGTACATTCTTGGGGATTACGAGCCCCTAGGCGATATGTAGGGTGGTTATACATGTTATGTTAAACTTATAAGCATATATTCATTGCTGAATGGCACGGGGTAGACTTACAAACACCCGGCAACTGTACTGTACCTCCAGGACCGTTGAAGGTTAACATTACTGTATCGTAAATCCATCCTGCAAAGTGCTGGTCGTTTGTCCCATAAAAGAGTGAGTGTACGTGAAACGTTGGACACTTCAGAACCGGATAAAGATGTTTCCGGATACGATATCCTCTTGTATGTTGTATACCGCATACATTCTACAAGAGCGTAGTGTTTGGGGACCCAAACGGGTTGAAACAACATAACGGATCAACGAGCGCAACCAGCAGCAGCCCATGTCGTACTTGGTCCCGTCCGAGTACTTGCAGAAGTTCACGCCCAAGGAGATCCAAGACCTCAAGAGGCTGTTCAAGCAGTTCGACACCGACACGAGTGGCTCCATTGATGCTGCAGAACTCTCGCGGCTGCTCCTCTCCGTTGGGGAGCAACCGTCGCCCGAGCTCTTGAACGAATTGATCGCCTCTGTCGACACGGACCATAGCAACACGATCGAGTTTCCCGAATTTCTGACGTTGCTGTATGAGCTCCGCCATCCTGTCCCGAACGCAGCACCGGTGCATTACCCGACAGGGCCAACGTTTTGCAACGACTCGGCGGCCGCGCTAGGGGGATGGAACACGACGTTTGACAAGCCCGCGTCGTCGCCGGTTGCGTCGCCCAGTAGCTTCGCACCGAAGGCGAGCTCTGCGTTCACATCGGCCGCCGCCACGTTCAACAAAGGCACGAGCGTGCCGACGCCTCCGGTGGTCGTCGTGAAGAAGCCAGCTCGGGCCGCAACTCCTATCGCGGCTCCCGCTGCTCCCGTCACCGCCGCCCCGGTGCCAGTCGAACCGGTTCGCAGGTCGTCGGTCGCAGAGAACGCGGCCAAATTTGGTGCCACGAAGAAGTCGATGTCGCCTGCGCAGTCCCCGGCGCTCGGCCCCGCCGCGCACCCGCCCGTCCAGCGCGTGCCATCTCAACTCGCGACCATCGTCCAGAAACACTTGACGATCAACGAAAGCCACAGCGCTACGGGCGGTGTGCATTCGTATTCCGAGGAAGAAAAGGCAGCTTTTGCCGAGCACATCAACCACTGCTTGTCGGGGGACCCGCAGCTGCCGTACTTGCCCATGGACACATCGTCGAATGCGCTATTTACGTCTGTGACAGACGGCATCCTCTTGTGCAAGTTGATCAACCAGGTACGGCCCACAAACTATGTATATGTATGTAGAATATGTGATATGGTTTTTGTTCACTGGTTGTCCACTTTATCCATTTGTAAGATGGAATTATATATCAAAAATCTATAGTTATACACTATTGTGTGTCATATACCATTGTTTTCCGTGTGGGTTGTTGGCTACATCGATGTGCCTCTACGAATGCCTCAACTGGTTGAATACATTGCCCCGGCAGTTTTGAATGAACACCACCATATGTTATCTAATATTTCAATCTACATGCAATATTTGAAAACATATTACTATATATATATATATGGATTTTTTCGAATGATCCTAACACTTTGTTGATACCCTATTACAACATGTATATACAATAACGATTTGATACAAGTTATATATATTTGTTGTATCACATGATCGTGTGATCGTCGTAGGCGGTACCAGATACGATTGACTTCCGCGCCGTGAACATCAAACCCAAGCTCAACCTGTACGAAAAGACGGAAAACCTAAACTTGGTGATCAACGCCGCCAAGTCGATTGGGTGCTCCATTGTGAACATTGGGCCGTCCGACTTGCTGGAAGGCAAGGCGATTCTGGTGCTGGGGCTGGTGTGGCAGCTGATCAAGATCCAGCTTACGTCGACGATTAACTTGAAGAATCACCCCGAATTGGTGCGGTTGCTGCTGGACGGCGAGTCGCTTGAGGACTTCATGAAGCTCCCGCCCGACCAGATCCTCCTTCGATGGGTCAACTACCACCTCGCCGCCGCCAATCACGACAAAAAGGTGTTTTGACTCTCGTTTATACAGAAACTTGTTCAATTTATTCACTGATTTTGCCAAAAAAATGTGGATTTGTGTGCTGATTCGGCCAAATTTGTTTGAATGTTGTATTGTCCTTTTACCGAAAAACATTTGGACTACTTTTGTGCTGATTCGCGAAATCTATCAATCGACTGTTTGTACTCACATTTGTATGTACAGATTGTCCAGTTTCACACTAATTTAAAACACACACTAATTCGATGTTGACTTGGTCCAATAATGGATTTGATTGGGTACTTGATTCGTGATCTGGGTTTTTATTGGTCGTATATCGATCGTCTGCCATTTTGGTTAATGTGCTAATTCGATTGAGCATCCCACTCCAATTTCGAAACAAATATATATTATGAATCACTATAGATTGCCAACTTTGGGCGTGATATTGCCGACGCGACGGCGTACAGCGTGTTGCTGCATCACATTGCCGGGTCGAAATGCGACTTGGCGAAGGAACCGAGTGCCGTGGAGCGGGCGGCGCATGTGATTCGGAACGCCGAAAAGATCGGCGTGGACCCGTTCCTGAAACCCACAGATATTACCATGGGCAACACCAAGCTCAACTTGGGGTTTGTCGCGCAGCTGTTCAACACGTGTCCGGCGCTGGACGGGGTGGACGTGGCCGAGCTGCGCGACATTCTGGACGACGACGTGGGCGACAGCCGCGAGGAGCGGTGCTTCCGCATGTGGATCAACTCGTTGGCCATCCACGATGTGTACGGAGTCTGCTTTGGCTCGTGTCAAGCATGGAGCTATGTAGGTCACCATGTTGTTTTGCTGTATAGATATGTGAACCATTTGTACTCGGACTTGAAGGACGGGCTCGTGATTTTGCACGTGCTCGATAAGACCGAGCCCGGCGTCGTGAGCTGGCCCAAGGCAAACGTAGCCCCGACCAACAAGTTCAAAAGAGTGGAAAACTGCAACTACTGCGTCGTGCTGGGCAAACAGCTCAAGTTTTCGCTCGTGAACGTTGGAGGGGTCGACATTGCGGACGGCAACAAGAAGCTCGTGCTGTCGCTGATCTGGCAGCTCATGCGCCACAGCACGATCAAGCTGCTGTCGTCGCTCGGCCAAGATGTGCATGACAAGGACATTATCGACTGGGCCAACGCCAAGGTGCTGGCTGGCGGCCGCCATAAACGGCTGACCATGGTGCAGTTCCGGGACCAGGCGCTGTCGGACAGCGTGTTCCTGCTCGATTTGGTCTACGCCGTCGAGCCGCGCGCGGTGAACTGGGACGCGGTCGCTTTAGGCTCGCCACTTAGCCACGTGGACAAGGAAGCCAACGCCAAGTATGCGATCTCGTGCGCGCGAAAGATTGGCGCGGCCGTGTTCCTGACGTACGAAGACATTGTCGAAGTCAAGCCCAAGATGATCATGACGTTTGTGGCGTCGCTCATGTCGCTCGACAAGCAGCATCGCTGAATAACGATTACAATCTTTCAGACACATCGTTGGTCCTTGCACATAGGTCCTAAATTGAGTGATACTACTACAGTACCTATACCAGTACAATGGCACTGTGTACTTGGACGCCTTATAACACAAATGTTTTACATGGTAGATTGAGTCGATGTGTCTTAAATTGAGTTATATGCGTCTTAAATTGATTGTTTTATAGTGATTGCATCTTGAAAATGGATATTCCAATGGGGGAAGGATCCGTGGAAAATGGCGCCGTGGATTTGGTTGGTTCGTGTGGTGTGGGGGTCGGTTCTCGCCTCGGATTGGTGGAAATGACCCAATCACAGGTCGCAAAGGGAGCAGAGGTCTCTTCTTCTGAGTATAAGGTTTGGCAGGGTCTGGCGGCATCACCAATCATAACCTGGCAAGGTTGATCCAGGAATAATCGGTCACAGCACAATTTCATCCACGATGACCACCATCACCGACGACACAGCACCCCACGCGCAAGTGCCGCGTGTGAAGAAGGAGAAGAAAGAGAAGAAAGAGAAAAAGGAGAAGAAGGAGAAGAAGGCCAAAAAGCGTACCCGCGACGAAGATGCGGCTGACAAAGTGTCAGCCGAGGACGCGCAAGTTGCCACGACGTCGGCCGAGAGTGACAACGACGTTTCTGTCAAGGACGAACCCGTGGTGAAGAAGCCCAAGACGCACAACGTGTCCACCATTGGCGAAGACAACCCGCCCCTGTCCAACTTTCGCATCTCCGCAGCGACGATCGACAACCTCGAAAAGCGCGGCATCCCGACCTTGTTTCCTATCCAGGCCATGACGTTCGACTCGATCTACGACAAGAAGGACTTGATCGGTCGGGCTCGCACGGGCATGGGTAAAACGCTGGCGTTTGTCTTGCCTGTGGTCGAGCTCTTGCTGAAGGATGGCCTTCGCAAGAACCGCGGTCGTCCGCCGAAAGTGATCTGCATGGCGCCGACGCGCGAACTGGCCAAGCAAGTGGCCCAGGAATTTGAACTGACTGGCCCAACCTTGTCCACGACGTGCATCTACGGCGGGGCGTCGTATCAGAGCCAGAACAGCGACTTTAGCAAGGGCGTGGACATCGTCGTGGGCACAACCGGGCGCATCTGCGATCACTTGGAGCGCGGGACGCTCAAGCTGCACCAGTGCTCGTTCTTGATCTTGGACGAAGCCGACACGATGCTGGAAATGGGTTTCCGAGAAGACATCCAAAAGGTATTTGAAGCCATGCAATTCGCCAAAGCCGCCGAAGACCACCACATCCAAACGCTGCTGTTTTCGGCGACGATTCCATCATGGGTGGAGACCGTCGCAAATCAATACATGAGTCCTACCCGCGAATACGTCAACATGGTCAAGGACAACGAGGCGCAAGCGTCCACGGACGTCGAGCACATTGCGATTCCGTGCCACTGGCAAACACGCGCCGCGTTGCTCGCCAACTTGATGTCCATGTATGCCACCAAGACGAGCCGCACGATCATCTTTGCCGAAACCAAAAAAGACTGCAATGAACTGGCCGTGAACCCCGACATCAAGCAAGATGCGCAAGTGCTGCACGGGGACATTGCCCAGGGCCAGCGGGAAACCACCATGCAAGCGTTTCGCGACGGCAAGATCCGGTTACTGATTGCCACGGACGTGGCTGCCCGAGGGTTGGACATGGACGTGGACCTGGTCATCAACTCGGAGCCGCCGCGTAAACAATCGGGCCGCGCCGACTGCGAAACGTACGTCCATCGGTCTGGTCGCACGGGGCGCGCCGGCAAGAAGGGCATTTGCATCACGTTGTTCACGCCCAAGCAAAAGGACAACTTGATCCTTATCGAACGCCACATCAAGCGCAAGTTTACTATGCAGAGTGCGCCCAACGTGGACGACATGATCACCACGTCCGGCGCGACCGCGTCCGCCGAGATCGACGCCGTGCACAAAGACATGAGCGCGCTGTTTGTCCCCCATGCGGAGGCCCTGGTCGAGAAGCATGGCGCTGTCCAGGCGCTGGCCGCGGCGCTTGCGTGCATCACCGGGTACACCCGACCGACGCCGCAAGCGTCGTTGCTTACGGGTGCCCCGGACATGGTGACTGTGTTGTTTGAGAGCACCAACCCCATCTACGCCAAAGGCTATGTGTGGAACGCGGTGAACCGCGACATTCCGGAAGAATTCGCCGGCGCTATCAAAAACATGCAACTCACGGCGGACTCGATGGGCGCATGCTTTGAACTGCCGCTCGCTGGGCTGCCTCTGCTGGAGGAATTGATGAAGAAGGACCAAGGCGATTTCAAGTGTCCGTATTCGATCCCCCGTGCCCTCCCCACCATGCAAGAAATCCCTGCCCGAAGCAACGGCGGCGGTGGCTACGGTGGCGGACGTGGAGGTGGCTATGGCGGACGAGGGGGTGGTGGATACGGAGGCCGTGGTGGAGGCCGTGGAGGAGGTGGCCGCGGCGGAGGAGGCCGCGGTGGACGTGGTGGTCGACGCTATTAGAGTTGAATTTATTATATAACATAAACGGCCAATTATTGCCCCAATATCATTCTATTAGAGTTGAATTTATTATACAACGTAAACGGCCAATTATTGCCCCAATATCGGCCACTTAGTTTTCACCCATACCACGTAGAGCATGAAAAACTTCAAAGATCTGGAGTTATGCACTTGTAGAGAGAAGAAAGGTCTACCCAACCGTTCAAATTGATCGGAAATTGGAGTAATAAGCGCGTAATACATTTTTCCAAGAATATGAAAGGCAAACTCAAAGCTGTAGATTGTAGATCGACGAGTTTCTATGTTTATTGCATAGTCGTCAAGCGGTTTTGGAAAAGAATATAATTCAGTGATTCTATAAGGCTGTGTTTTTTTGTTTGTATAGAAGGAAGGGAGTACGGGCAATGTTTACACATAACGTTAACAGTGTGTTGAATCGTGGAGGAATAATGTCTTAAAAATGATAATCCAAACTCAATTAATCGTCGAGGATCGTATGTGTGGACTGCAATGGAACGAGTTTGAATGTTCACTTCGTAGTCGTTTGGTGGCTTGGGGATGACTGAAAGTATAAAGTCAGTGTGCCCGAGCGGTCCAAGGGGGTAGACTCAAGTTCTACTGTGTTCGCACTCGTGGGTTCAAATCCCACCGCTGACATCACTTTTTGTCCCCACTAGTTTTGGATATCCATTTTTCAAAGGTAATATCAGTTATTGGAGGTATGTATGTGGTCGGACCGTCGTACCTTACCGTTAAACCCAACGTGCGTTCCCAAGTAGAAATGTCGTACTTTGGTTGTCGTTTGGTCGTGTTTTTATGGCGATTTGTGCTTCTACGTGATTGGCTAGTGAAGAATTTGTCGTGTTTTGGTCCATCGTGTTTTCATCGTTTTCGCGCAAACCCATTGGATATATCTGTCCAATCAAAAATACCGTTCTTTCCGAACAAATTTCAAATATGCAAGGTTCCAGTGAAAATGCCTCAGGCGGTGGCGGCAGGCACTGGGTTCAAGGCCTCGCCTCGAAAAACTACGAAGCAATAGGACATCTACAATGACTAGCGGCACTACAATACTTAATATGTAGTCCGAGCTAAGCTGTCCCGCGGACTGTTCCCGGAAGTCACAGAGTACGCATAGGTAGGTGGTCGCATTAAGCTAACGTGGGACTAGCACACTCGTCGTCCATGTGATGGCATAGAGTACATCACGCGGCTGAAGAGCATATCGCGCGGCGGAATGAGGCCGCGAATGCATTGTGGTGAAGTGCAGGTATCTCTGGTTACATCAAACTACGCATACTGAAATCAAGTAAAACCTACGTAAAATTCACAAATACAAAAACACGACCGAAAATGACTCGCCATCGTACTTTGAAAAGGTGATTTCAAAGTACAGTACGACGGAAACGATTCTTATTAGCTCCGTTTGATTTTGAAATTATTCGGAAGGGCCCCTAAATGACAAGCTCGACACCTGGAATTTCGATTATGACTTTTACATATCGTGCTCGTTCTTCTACATAATATATTCTGTGACCAACTCTTGCATAGAGCGAATGACGCACCCCCGAATAAAACACGCACTCCGGAGTTTGCCTGTTTGTTCTTTGCAGATAATGCCTTGTGTGCCGATGAGTGCACCCCGATTGAACTAACACGAATTACTTGTTCCTTGATACTGTATCATGGGGACTGGCGGCATGTGCGTGTAATACCCCAACATTACGCCAATCTTGTGCTAGTTTGGATATGCTATGCTAATGGTCCAATATGGTCGGATATTTGGCCCGGACTTTTAAGATACAGTACTACTTCGGTCCGAAATTGTCGTTTCTGACTTGATTTACTTAACTCGAAATTTTTGTCAAATTTTATCCCGGATACTTGAAGTACGAAACAAGGTTGGTGAAATGGTAATTCACCAAAGTTGGTTCGCGCAGGTACGACTACAAGGCATGTTCTATCGAGGATACCGTTGGGTGATATTACCAATAGATGCTTCTTGACACTTCCACATGTCCGAATTTCTAAGCATTCGACACTTTCTCAACTCGATGCCAACACTCCAATCGAATGATCCTTCACGGTCAATGTGCTTCTGTCAGTCCGTAGAATTGCCACATTCCATGCAGGGCAAGTGTGTGGCGCTACGTTAACGTTCGGACCGCGCACAACTTTGTAATCGTATCCATCGTGGCTTTGGAGCCAATTCTGCCGTGGCCCGCGTTGTTGAAGTCGCGAGCTGGCCGGCATATGACGGATAATTTGAGGAATAATGTATAACTATTTCTGCGGTGTAACTTCTGTATACACATGCCACTGCGATTCGTATGACCTTATCACTTTCATGTCAAGCAAAGGCGGGAATTGCGTTCTGAACGAGATAGGGTGTATCAACAGATAGGGTGTATCAACGCCTGGCACGCCAATGAAGTGAGTGTTACGTTCAGGCGCATCCGCACCGAGTGCGTTTCCCGACGAGATACCCAACGCGGAAACTGTGCCGCTCGATACAACATCTAGACAGTGAGGAACAAG